ATGGTTTTGGCCAGGCTGCAGAATACATTTTTCTTATAACTGGAGTCCTGGCAAGGTATACGGACTTTGACATGGAGAAAGGGTCTTCTGTTTGGTGCTCAATGCCTTTGTTTTGTTTAAATCACTACTGGAAGCATCTTAAAATGAACTAGCTTTTCCACGCTGCTATATGACTGACCAGCAAAACCACAAATGAGACTTAATAAAGCTGGAAGGCAGCAGAGTGCAGTGAAATGATCCAGGAGTTTGCAGCAATTCTCCGTACGTCTGAGCAAGAGGGACCTGACAGAAAGTTTTAAAGCTCAAGACATGCATGGAGCAATGGGCCAAACTGAATCGCTGAGCAAAAGCAGCCTCGCAAATGTTTTTATAATAACTTCCCCTCCCATTACTCTGCAAATGTGGCTATTAATGCAGTAAAACAGCAGGGCTGACACGGGAACAGCGGCTCAGCCCCGTAGTAGTATTGAGGATCTGGGCCAGGGTGAAATATTGATTAATCATCTTGTCATACCGGTGCTTTGTTAGATTCTGTAGATAGGAATTGAGGTGGTAATATACAGCTCCTTTGTCTAGTAAGGCTGCTGTATCACATGGGAATGATTTGTTGACTTCTTATGGAAAAGTACTACAGTGGGGTGAACAGTAGGATGATGCTGAAATAAGCTGAAGGCTTTTTTAAAAAGTATAGGAATTATTTTTTTAAAAAAAAAAAAAAAAAATCACTGTAGCAGAAAGCCAAAAGCATTGCTCCTCACTTACCAATCTGTTTGCATGTGGACAAGTGCATCTGTGTGGTCCATTGGGGCAGGCATGACACAAGCACAAAAATTATCCAGTTTTCTTTGTTTATTTGGGGAATGAGAAGGCTAATCAACTCTGGGTTTGCTTTTCAGCTCTTCTTCTGGGTGAATAACTCTGCCATTGAGAAAAGACAATGAAAATCAAGGCCATGGTAAGGTATCTACATGGAGTTGAAGGACCCCTTGTGATAATGTTTTGCCACCTCTGCTCATTGCACCCCGTGGGCAGTGCTGCTGGGTGGGATATTTTAACATGAAAATACAAAGCTCGAGGCTCTCAATAGGAGATTGAGATTCTGGGGATTCGATGAGGTGGTGGCAGCCGCTCCCTGATGGTCAATAGACCTGGTTATGTGCAGGTTAAACTAACCCTAGGGCTCAGCTCAAGGAGTACTTTCCCTGACAGTTATATGATGGGAGTGTGCTACCATAACCCAGAACATTAAACCCAGGAGAAAGTGTCCCACCCTTTCTCCACCTCCCAAAACCCCTTTCATCTAGGGCAGGTGAGGGCAGAGCTGATAAGGACTGTCATTGCATCAAATTAAAGGGGAAAACGATCTGGAAAGCTGTTTGCAGATAAAACTTGACTTGATTAATCTATTTGTTCTCTTTATTTGGCAGAAACCTAAAACCAAGTTTCGCGGTGACTTTAACTGCACTAAAAATAATAGCCTACTTATGCAATTATCTGCATGTACCTGACCATTGGCTCAGGCCAATGAAGTGAGCACAAGAACAGGCACACAGGCTTTTTTTTTCCCTTTTCTTCTTTTTTTTTCCAAGTGTGGTTTAGGCTTCCTGCATGAAAACCTCTGGCCTGTAGGTCTCAGCTTGCCATCAACTTGTGCATGAGGCTCAGGAGCTGTAAGAGCAAACCAAAGGCAGCCCATGCCCGTCCTCGCTGGGTTTGGATTCAGCCCTGCCGATGCCCCTGTTGCTACGTGATGGTTATAAACCAAGACAAACCGTAGTGGGGCTGAAGACAAAAATGACACATACATGGTATTCTAAAATGTAACTTATGGCTCAGGTGAGCAACAAGACGTCTTCGTGTACTGAAACGGGCTGAGAGAGGAGCACGCCTCGCCTTTGGCCTGGAGACAAGGCCTCCATCTTTGGAGGTACTTTTGGCTTCAGTGGAGCCACATTTAACCAAACTTGCCATAAACCATATTCCCTAAATATCCTTTTCCCACTGGGGCAGTGCTGCCTTTATTATGCAGTTTGTTACTAGCTGCCCTGGGGTACCGATACCCAGCGCTGCTGGTATCACTGCTTGCTCTTCCCAGCTTGTTTGCATCTGGTGATAGCAATCCTTGGTCCCACTGCACAAAAAGACCCCACGGTGTGCCACATTCACTCTTTCGAGCCAATTAAAACGTGAAGGACTGCCTTGTGCAGTAGCTGCAAAGACCCAGCTTGGCCAAGGGTGGCAGGCAGGGACACCCCCATGGTCCCTTTTGGAGCTGTCTCAGGCCTTTTCTCTCTCCTGATGGGAAAAGCAGGAAAATCTGCATTGCCTGGGCCAATGCTGGCTTTTCCTGGACATCCCACCACCCGCTGCTCTGCATCTTGTCCAGAAGAAACAGGGCTTTAGACCTGATTTCAAATGGTGCGCTCAAACTCAAATAACTCAATTTTTTTTTTTTTTCCTTTCCTTTTAGACCTTAAAGGCTCATTTCATGCAGTTGGAGGCCCATTTAGCTTCTCAGCTATGGATTTTTATCAATCCGGTGGGTCAATTGTTTGCTATTAGCCAGCCGAGCCGCTGCTCCCCGACGTTGTCCCCGTGAGCAGCAGGCGGTTGCATCACCAGCCCGAACTCAAGGCTCCACAACAGCTTTCAAGGTGACCTTGCACCAGTCCCTCCTGTAAAATGAGTGAAGTAGTTCTCTTTTCCAAGGTAGTGTTTTAAAGCTTAAAGGACTGATCTAAGGTGGAGTCACCATCCCTGGAAGTGTTCAAAAAACAGGCAGACGTGGCACTTTGGGACATGGTTTAGTGGGCATGGTGGTGTTGGGTTGATGGTTGGACTGATGATCTTAGAGGTCCTGTCCAACCTTAATGATTCCTAGTTTTTACTTTCATTAAAAATAATCCAACCACCAAGCCAGGAAACATGAAATTGCCACTCTCCCCTTAATTGGTTTAGTGGTGGACTTGGTAGTGTTAGGTTAATGGTTGGACTGGATGATCTTCAAGGTCTTTTCCAACCTAAATGATTCTATGACTCTATGAAAAGCCTCCAGTGGTCTACTGAGAGCCTCTGGGTCAGGCCCTAAATTGCATGACCAATTCCAAGATGCTTCGCAGTGCCCCATCTTCTGGTTACCCTTATCCTAATGACCCCACAGATGCAGTCTTTGCTCTCCAGACTGCAGACGAAATATGCCATTTTTGCCCTGACCCAGACAAAACCAAGACAATAAGGAAAAAGATCCCTCCTGTTTTGTAGTCCTTTATTTTTTTTTTTTAAGTTGATCCTCCCATAGTAATGTACTGAAATGCGTAACAGTTACATTGTACAAAGCATTTAAAGAAAGTACCTCAACTTGCCGATTATTTCAAAATGAGATTATAAACAAAAGGAAAAATAAATCTGGTCCCTCACTAAAGGCCAAAAAACCCCCAAAAAAATAACTGAATACCTTCCGTTATTTATTTATTTTTTTTAAACATAAATTTGGAACACTTCATCTTACAAATAGGATTAACATGAACATAACATCACACAAGCTCGCAGACAACCAGCATAAAATATTGGGTACAGTTTTTTAATCAGAAGAATCATGCTTTCATGAAGAAATTATAACTGTTTATACAATTGAATCAATTTACTGTATTACAAAAAAACCTAAGTCGCATCTATTAGTTATTTAGTTCATTAAAAGGCAAAAATAAAATAAAAGAGGAATGTAAGAAAATTTCAAACACTGTTTTGCACTCCCATATACATAGATCAGTTCACCTCACTTTTTTTGAAGTACATGGGTGCCTTACATCGTAACGCAGTGGGGGACTGGAGCAGTGCTGTTTGTTATAGGAACAGTGCTATTTTAATCAACAAACAATCGTTTGCCAACAAATAAATACATGGTACACACAACACAAAGAAAAAATTAGAGGGTGGGGGGAAAAGGAAACAATACAACAAAACAGTGACATGATTGTCGAAAATTAAAATCTCCTTACAATGATTTGAACTAGTGGTGCTGTCGATGAACGCGGTGCTTTCACGGAATTATCTGGATGATTTAGCTTCTTGGAGTAGTGAACATTCATAGTTTACAATATACACAAGCCTCTTATGTATTGTTTCTCAGAGTTCTTTTTTTTTCTTTCTTTTTTTTCCTTGTTTTTTTCTTTTTTTTTTAACAATGCAGTTGAGAAGGCAAAAGAATTACGGAGAGAACAAAATACTCCCTGTTACTTCTTTCTACATTTACGATGGATAGTGTGCATTTGATAGAACTATTTTCTTTCTTTGAAGGGCTAAAATGCATAAAGCTTTAATGAAGAGATTTGTACATAAAAGCAACTGTTCCCAATCCTGTGTCAAACTATCTTATACAAAAAGAAAATCAATTCAGTTCCTACTTTAAAGGAGTGCCCATGTGTGTATCAATGCAGTCTTAACCCTTTTGCCCCTGCCCCTCAAAGCCGGGTGAACTGGAAGACACTTTTTCCCGGGCCCGGTTTACATAATCCACTGAAACTTTTTTTTTTTTTTAAAGTCGCATTGATCCTCCAGAAGTCAGCAGCTGCCTTTGCTGTGCAAAACAAAATTGAGAATAAATAGTTTCTTTCTTTTTAAAATTATTCAGTTTAAGGTCACCGGACTTTAAATGAGTGACCCTGCAGATTTATAAGGCATTCTGCTCAGCAGTCTTTTAAATAGTCATATATGAAAGAGCCATGCTACTGGTTTGGACTTGGTCCCATTCTCGGTAAGACTTCACAATGTCATACGTGACTGATGGACTGAATGGCGCTGGATTCTGCAGCGGCTCTCGCCATACTGTGCCACATATTGGGAGAATTGTGGGATGCGGAATGAAGGGAGTCCTTGTCGGAGAGAGAGAGCATCATCGCATACGCCTGGATGGGGAAAGAAGAAGGACAAAGAGGTCACGCTCCCGCGGTGCGGATCTGAGCTTGGACCCGTGCCACCCCCTACGCGGTTAGGGCATCATTTAGGCTACAACTGCTATTCTCAACTTACTCAAAAAATATCAAAGCATGTTAGGTAAAACCACTGTCAACCTCTTCACTGACACTTTTGACTCGCTAATAGTAATAATAATTTCTGCTTTCATCTCGCTTCACGAAGCTCTGAGAAACCTTTGATAGTAGACAAGGTCCCAGAGTCTCCTTTGCCCTCAGCTTCTTGGCACAAGAGGCTCTTTTCAAGAGCCTGAGGAATCACATTATCCCTTGGCTGGTCCTGTATTTCGCCAAATACCACAGTCTCCTTTGCTGACCTTTTCTACAGGCATATTCTGCAATTTTAAAAATTGGAATCTTTTGAAGGGGCTAAAAAGACCCATTTTAATTAATGTTGAAAAAAAAAATAATCAAGAAATAGCACTAAGATCTCAGTCCAGTTATTGCTGGTTTTAAAATATGCTGAGGACCTAGAGGAGGTAACACTCAACAGAGTTTAAAAAAACCACCAAAAAGACAAGCCAGCCAGACGACTGGGTCACATCCCTGCGAGGCTGCAGCTAAGCTCCACAGCATCCGAGGGACCACGCCGGCTGTACAAAGGCAGAGCGGGACTATTTCTTACCATGGCATTTCTGCAGGTGGCAGGCAGGAACAAAAATAGCAAAAAAGTAAGCAAATCCTCCACTACCAGGGACCAGAGCATCCCGCCACGTCTCCCTGGTGCGGTGGGAGCACAGGGGGAGGTTGGGGCAGGCTGAGGTTTGTGGACGTGGAGCACAGCCCTGTCTGACGAAGCTGAAATGACCTTGCCTGCCACACACTAACAGTTTAATCCTTCAGGTATTTGGCGACAATAACATTTTAACTGAGTTAAGCTTTTACCTGGGATTTGGATTTCCTGTACAACGGTTGTTTTAGGTCCTCTGGCAGCTGGGAAGTATTGAAAGCTGCCAATTCAGCTTCACTATATTGATTTTCTTCCATTTTCCTCATTTTGAGGCTATCTGTGAAGTGCCTTATGTGGTCCAAAGCCGAAAGTCCAGTCTTATTATACTCCTCTTCTTTATACCTACAAAAACACCACACGGGTTTTAATGTCAATTAATCAATCCTCTCGGCATTCCCTCGTCCTCCCAGATTTACACATCTGAGCAATTTCCCCCTTTTTTACATTCACAAACCACCTTGCCCTGCAGAACTGTGATCCTGAAATAAAAGAAATTCCCCTTTCTTTCCTAAGAAGGAGAGGGCAGGCAGCGGGAGCAGGGGAGGGAGAGGACATCTCTCTCCTGGTGTCTCCACAGACTTTCACAAGACCATTATGGGAGATCCAGGTCGGTTTAGATAACGTCTCTCCCATGAATGTTTCCTGTCTCACCCAGAACCTGACAATAGCTCCCCAAGCAGAGTTATTTTTCCTCTTAAGGGCTACAGATTGCATGAAGAGACTGAAAACAGGGCTGGTATTGACCCAAACACAGACGCACGTTGCTATTGTAACTGGGAAGCTGGCTACTTCAGACCGGTTCCCACGGCACACAGGTTGGTGCTGGCACTCTTGTATGGTTTATTGTTTTTATTTCACATATCGGGCTCACCAATACTCGGAAGGAACCAACCTGCCAGGGGAAGCTTTGCAGTTCATGTCCAAAGTACTCGTTTCCTCGTAATCCTCCTCCGGAGTCCCCTCATGCATGTCACTCGTAACAGGCTCTTTGACTGCTTTCCCTGCAATTTCGCTCTCTTCATCTTCTTCGTCCATCATGACTTCATCTTCTGCCTCTTCGTCATCCAGCAAATCCGAGTTCTGGCTGGCTACCATGGCTTTTTCATCCTTAAAGTGGCTGCCATTCATTCTGAAAGTACCAAAACAAACCCAAGCAATAATCACAAATCAGTTATGAAAGCTCCTCACCAGCGGATTGTCAGAGGCAGATGTGAAAAGGAACCGTCCCAGTAGAATAGAGTCATTTCTGTATTTTGTATCTTGTTTAGCTTCAGACATTTAGGCAGTATTGAAGAAAATTACACTCAAAAATCAGTGGGACGTTACAATGCCATCAGCATGGGATTTTCCTGTTATCCTGGGAGCCTAAAACTACTGTTCAAGTGGAGGTATGTTTACATATCCATTCCAAATTTTCTCACGCATTATTTCATCTCATGTTTCCAATCATATATGTAGTCTGGGCAAAACAACTCATTGACTTTTAACAGAAGCTGTAGGGGCCAAGAAACTCTGCAAATCAGATCCGGCATTTTCAAAAATGACATCCAATACTGCATTCAGAGTTTTAAAGTCAAAATTACATGCATAATTAATTTTGCACGCTACCACCCATTTGGAAGCCATACTACTTCACTGAACATATGGATTACATACATGGGAACCTAAGGGACTTCAGCTGAAGACCTGAAGAGCAGTCTGCAATACTGCCTCCACGCTGAACTACATTATTGACTGATTCGAAGGGTAAGAAGTAATGAAAAGAAAGGTCATATAGCATTTTAAGTGCATTTATTCTTATTAAATAAGTAATTATAGCAATACACACATGGAAAACCATTTGGTCTACCCGCTGTGATAACGTTCTCTTTTGCTTTCAGACAATGACTTCTCTTAACTACTTCCTACGATATTTTATCAAGGACATAATATCCAGGCTGAAGTAGGGGCTCATTTGCTAATGGCCTCAACCCCACAGGATTCTGAGCATCCGCAGCTGCATCGTGTCTGCCGTATTAAATGAGAGCGAAAGAAATTCGGCACCGCCGCCACGTTGCCAAATGCGTTGCCAGAGGTACTAGTGGTGTAGACGGGCTGAACTCCGTGGAGCCATGTGAATTCGCACCACCAGCGTATCTGCTCCGCTGCGTTACGTAGCACGGAGGCCTTGATTCATCTATTGTTCTCATTGTGCAAAAGGTCCTTACTCTTCCAGGAATACAGTTATAAAAATGGAAACTTTATTGTCTGCCTGCAGTTTGCTTTCGACTCCGTGTGCTTCAAACTGTGCGGGACAATATGGAATATACCAAAAGTTTGAGCGAGATAAGGATGAGCCCTAGCAGTGTGTTTGGTATTTGTAACAGATGCATTTTCTTACGGAGCATACACAAGTGAAAGCTAATTTCTTATACAACATTGCAGCTAATTGTCACAAGTTTAGTACTGCATTAAAAAAAAGCTAGGGGATGGTCTGTTCATACCACAGGATCAAAAAATCTGAGGCTGTGCAGAGTTGGGAGAGCTGAAGCAGCCACCCCCCTCTAAGATAATCAGAGCAACATCTCTTTATCATCTTCTATTTAAACAGGCAGAAATAAGAAATTGTTGAGCACAGTTTGGGCTGCCAACTTGCTTGTTATGCTCAATTGAGGCTGCTAGAAATGAAAGGGAGATGGACTACAACCAAAGTAACAAAAGCCATGTGATTAAGAAAACAGATTCTCTAATTATGCTTTCAAATGCAGCAATTTGCCAGGGATAAAGTATCCATCAAGAGCAGTCTGAAGTGCCAAATTTAGAAAGGAAACACTGCACAACCCAGCAACCTTTTCACTTTGCTGACTTCCTGTCGGAGGACATGTTGAGACCAGATGTGCAAAGAAAAAATCCCAAGCCCTCATTGCCAATCAAGATGGAATGAAATTTGAATATGCATGTAATCACTTAATCCAATACTTTTGTGGAAATCGTGTTATGTCCACCATTTTCATCCCTTCACAAAGGCATCTGGAAATTGAGAAGACAGTGAAGTTTGTCACCAACAGTAAGAAATTTTTGATGCTGATAAAGTAATGCCAATTCAAAAGCGCAAATAATGCATAAGGCAAAACCGATCTCCAAGAAATATGTATAGCTGATGTGCGTATCCATGCTACAGCCTTTTCTGCTTAGCTGTATTTTTATTAGCTGAAAATATTTAGAAGTGGTCTCTCTTCTGTTAGTTCAGAAGAATTGAAACATTCCTATACTTAATAAATCTTAGTAGGAAAAAGTGGCTCACATGCTAGAGCACTGCGGACTACCAACGCCTACCCACGGCCTCACGGGCTTTTTGCTAGTCAGCATCTTTCTTGGGATTGAGTTACTTACGGGAAAGGACTTTCAGTTAGAATCTTTCATTTGATCCAAGAATTTAGCTTAGTCTACTTTATTAATTACACATTTAAATTGCATTTAAATCGTAAGGCTCTCTACATTTAGCCACAGGACGTAGAAGTCACCTGTTCTGCCATGAATGTAAAATGAGGGAATTTTTCAACAGACTTAAATCAACGATGGGAACTTGAAACTCAGAGCTCCTGATACAAGGAGAAATGTGTGCAGAGATGAACCTTCTGTCCAGCATCTGCCACTGGGAATATACTCATGCACAATGGGGAGGGAATCAACACGTTTCTTTTCATAGGACACCAAGGTGAACACTGAAGCAACCAGATTGCTAAAATAACTCATCAAAAGTGAAAAATCAGGTTTAATCTGGAAAAGGAAGGGTGGCACCTTTTGAAGGCAGATCAGTTGCAACTTACCTCTCTTCTGAGTTTCGGGGGGATTGATTGTTGTGGTTGCTGTTTCCAATAAAATTCCTAATTTCTGTGAAGTAAGAGTCTTCCTTGTCATCTAGGATTGCCCCTGTGCTTTCCAGTTCTGAGTGAGGTGAAGATGTTGCAGTACCTTAAAGCAAAACAGAGGACTTCTGTTGTTGCCCTTTTACTTTTTCTATATTTAACCATTTAAATCAAACAAATTGAAACGATGGTTAAAATGGGTGAGCGACAGAAAAGTTGGTCATAGTGGTCTATCAGCTGTAAAACCGGTAATTAGAAGGGAAGTAGTATTATCCAAGGGTGAAGGTGGTTTCCAGCCCAACTGACTGCTTGCATGCTGGGTGCCATTTCCATGGTTAATAATTGCTTTTGCCAAGTATCTATTTCAACATCTCCCTCCTGTTCCCTTGTGACTCCAAGACTGTCAGTCAATAACTGTGTTAGACCAATGGCTGAACTGAGCAACTTTAGCTACTAATTATGCAGATTTGCTTAAAATATGGAGCAGTCATTGACATAATCACCCAGGTTAATTAGCACTGAGAGACCAGTGACAGACGTCTTTCTCTGCGCATCGGAGGAAAGACAGCTCTGCATTCACTGCAGGTACCTGGTTATTGCCAGTGGAGCAAAACGTAGACTGAAAAGACTGCAGACAGGGTTTTTATTAAACCCTGCAGATACCTAAACCAGACCAATGATATCTACTACCTGCCGCTGCCTTTGCTGCTGCTGTGCGGTGACCGATTTGCTTTGGGGCTTGGGAGGCACCATTACCTCCATAATAGCTAGCACTTTTCAGCTCCTGACAGTGGGAATATTTTAGAGGGTGCCAAGAAAATCTTTTAGAGTGTCCCCTGAGACTCTAAATCTAGGACTCCTATTGAAAGCCAAGTGATTGCAGAGATGGGATTAAACCAATTTTCCCAGTCTGTACTCAAAATGCTATGGTTGGCTTAATTAAAACCAAAAGAAAAGACATCATCCAGTGGTATTAAGTTATACAAGGGTAGAGTTTATGCTGGGATTTTCGAAGCACTTTAAATGTCAGCAGAGCTTAGGCACTTACATATTTTCCAAAAACCCACTCATTGGAGCAGACTGGGCAGAGCAACATGTGCCTACTGACACTCAGTAGTATTGGAAGTGAATGTGAAATCCCAGCATACGAACGCTGGCGGTACACAGGGCACGCTGGGGAAGGAAAAGGCATACATACCAGACATGTTCCCGTTCTCGTGCTTTTTTAGATGTCTGTCAAGATTGGTTTGTTGACCAAAACACCTGTCACACAAGTGACACTTGAATGGCTTCTCTTTATTGTGGATGTTACGGACATGTCTCTGCAGGTTAGAAGATATGCTAAAGGACCTGTCACAGTATTTGCATCTGAAAAAAACAAAAATAGGTGGGTAGAAAAGGCTTTATTAGTAGCAGGAAATGTAAGACTTGTCCTAAGAGACATGAAGCACCTCCCGGGCTCAGCCTCAGTACCCAACTGCAGTTCCTTGGTCCCTATTGAAGCAAAACCCTCCCTGAAATAAAGACAAAGTTTTCGCTGACTAACTGGAGAGCCATGCTCTTGGAATGGAGACGTCACTTCTACGGTGTGTTTTTTAGCTTTAATCCACATTAGGCTTTGTAATTTAAATACTGCCTTTAGGAATAAGCATAATATTTCAGAGTTAATGGCATCAAATTAGCTAGGGTAATTGATTTCCATGTTTTTAAAACTGTTGCATGCAAAGTTGGGAAGTTTGAAAACAGTAGAGCAATAACTCTATTGTTTCATGTGCTGCCAATACAATACAATTAAACACTTTTGGAAAAAACATGAAACAGATCTCTTCTAATGCTCAAATAAGGTAAAAAGGGCTATTTCTTTTCCTATTCTAAACTATACTGTGTGATTAAATCTTTTCTTGAGGAATTAGCTTGCTCAATTGCTAATCCCAGAGGAAATTTGGTTATCTTGCAAAAACCAGCAATAAACAATCCCAACCTTTAATACTGTGCCAATGTGAGTAGTTTAGTCTATCACTCTGGTACCAGAGGCATCAATTTTCATACTCTGTAGCGATTTGGAGTCCCTAAAGCCTTTACTGTATTGCTCTTTAAGCCATTACTAAGTCATACTATAACTATTCCAAATTCTCTGGCTGGCGACTAGCCAACAGTCTTCACCACTTTAGTTTTTCAATCTTTTATTTCTCCCGTGCTTCTCTTACGCTTGTCAATGATGTCAATTTTTTTTAGTGCTGAAATGGTCCATTATGCTACTAATTGCTCGTGGCTTTTATGTAGTGGATGAGCATAACATGCATCAAGACCTTTCTTCAATAAAATTAGATGTGAATTTCATTTCCCAAAGAGACTAGAGGCAAAAAACATATTGTTTCCTCACAAACAATGAGCTTACTCTACTCTTTACAGCTCGTAAAATGCAGAAATTGGTGCATTTGTTTTACTGGAACATGAAGTGGCTTCTTTCCAGTTGGTTTAGTCTTTCATTTTCAATAAGGTGAAGCTTCTATACACATTTCTGCATGTGACTGTCCTGGATACAATATCACATACATATTCTTATCAACAAGAGAGTACACCCACATGGGGTTTGGTTAAGCAGACCTCAGAAAGGATCCAGATAAGGCAGGAAACAAATAAATACAGTAACGCCTTTGCAACCAGGACCTTTCAGAAATCAGATGATTGACAAAACACCCAACTTTAGGCTGCAAGTAACACCACAGAGCTCTTAGAAAAAAAACATTTCTTGCAAGGGAAAATATGACCATGAGCCCTACTGAAAGCCACTTCAACCATGCCGGTTCAGATGTGCCAGCTATCCCGCAAGGCAAAGGCAGGACTTGCGGATGGTGCCTGGGCAGCTGCCTAAGCCAAAAGAATTTCACTAACTAGGACCAAAACCTTCCCCCATCTCTGCAGCAGCAACGCTGAATATCAGCATCGAATGCAAAAAGCCCTGTTTGAGACCAAAACGCAACGGTGGTCGCACTGCTAAGGGGTGAGTGTTGGAGCTGGCCGAGCACGGCTGTTGAGCACTCGGTCCCTCGCTTTAGTCACTTGCCCACACCACAGACAGGGGTACGGGGTCACAGTACCTATAGGGCTGCTCTCCAGTATGCGTCCTCAGGTGACGTGTTAGGTTTGCAGATCTCGGGAAAATCTTGCCACAGTATCTGCGATAAGAAAAGGTTTGATAAGACAATGCAACCTTCAATGGCTTCGTCCTGATTTGAGCTGCCCCGGACGCATAGCCCAAATTGAATCATTAATATATGGTACTATTGGGATCGCGTCGGTGGAACAACAGTTCAATAAAATCACTCAGGAAATGTGATTCAGACACATACACAAGAATGGGACTGGAACTGCTGGCACTGGCCAGCTTTTCCTGTGCAAGGGATGTATGAAAACATACCAGTTTTAAAGATCACCCAAACTTTCTAAGCTCACTAGGTGATTATCTGTCACATTTGGATTTGGAATCAAGGGAATCTGTTATTAAAGCCTTGGATTTCTGCCTCCATGTAAGCAAATTTCAAACCTTTCAACCAATTCTACGTGTCAGCAAATGTGACATCATTCTGTGCATTGAATAGGATCAGAGCAGACAAGACTCAAAGACCTAATCCATCAAGGTATGTTTCTATAACAACATGTCTTGAAAGAAGGTGACATGTTTTCAAAAAGATCAGATAAACTGATATGCCAGTGTCAAACGCCTGCGCATTCTGGAGACGATATAGAGACCTAAATAATGCAATTTAAAAACCATTCTCCAAACTCAAGAATATGTCACAGGAACAATAACAGCAAAACAATAATAATACGGTGAGTCCTCTCCCCTGATTTAAGTAACATATTAATATTCAGTTTATAATTGGCCCAGTTCTATTAATGACACTCAGCCCATTTTTGCATGGGGACAGAGCACACACAGCGCTCTCTTAAGTGAATGAGGGTGGTGGTTGCTCCATGTGATGACTTTGAAGATTGCATCCCTCCACTTTTAACATCCCATTTATTTTTCACAACGTGATGTATAAGCCTTCAAAATACCCACACAGCTAATTCTACTCTCCTCGACAAAGCTCCTATTCATTTTGGTTGCACGTACAATGACTATCTTCATTGTATTTTTTTTTTAAGTCTGTACACATAAGTCCTAATAAGTCATGTATTTTATCACCGATCCCTTTGGATATTAAAACCAGAAGCCTGAGAAAAAACACGTCTGTAGTTTATGATCAAAAAAATCAATAATGAAAGCACGCTTGTGCATATGAAAGTGATGAGAATATTTGGAAAAAAGAGTTGTTTATATAATAGTTTCCACCTCATTTATCAAACCGGTACGATACAGGGCAAACTCTTCGCTTCATAACACCAGCAGTTTAATAAATAAGAACCCCAAAACAAAAAGCTTTCCATGTTTCGTTGGAAACTGTCTGAGCAGGGGGCATTTTGGGAGCCCAGGAGGGCACCGCGGGGCAGTTTTGGGGCTACCTGCAGGTGTAGCGCTCCTTGCCCTTCCGCAGCAGGGTCTCGGGCAGGGCGCTCGGCGGCGCGCGGAAGTTGAACATGGACGGCACCGACTGGATCAGCTCGTTGGCCTCCGGCTTCAGGGCGCTAAAGCTCTCCAGCTTTTCAGCCATGTTTTCTATAGCTGACATCTGCAACAGAAGATAGCACAGAACCCGTCACGGTGAATATTGCTTCAGCCTTCTGCCCTCACTGGAAACCCAAAATACAAACGATATACACTGCCAGGAGGGGAAAAAAAAAAGGGGTGGGGGGAGCAAACGTAGAGTTGCAGCCACAAAAATTATGGGGCACATTAGGCAAGGTGGTGGCCACCATGTTGTCCCACTTGGAATAACGGCCATAGCAGGGTGCTGTTTCTCTGCAAGGCCAACACACAGCAGAACTTCTGTCCTGATTGCTATAACAGAAAGCTGCTTCCATATAAAATCTAAATTAGCCAGTGTTCATTCCTTCTAATTTTTAAGCCTCAGCTTCTATAAAATTCCAGTTTATGCCGTCATGCTCTGTGGGTGTATGCGTATGAATCTATGCATCCCACCTACTGAAACCACTGGCCATTTCTGACTGAGTCAACAGAAAAAACAGAGATCCTAACAAGAACTGAATTCCTACAGGGTTTTTTGGGTTTTTTTAAAGGACTTACAGAGGACAAATATTGCAGAGGACACCTTATGAACACTCTAGTTCAACCAACAGCTGCAACAAGCCAGATCCAGAGAGGCTCCGTCAATGTCCCAGCCACATCCAACCATTCAGTCCAGTCTTCTTGCCCATCACAGTCAAAGACCATAAGATAAATCCGTAAGAAATGAAGCTTTGATGGGTTTGGTGCTACATGTTTACATTACCTTTTAGATGCCTATCCTGTTTTTCTACAATGTCTTAACAGTCCTGCTCTACCTCTAGTTGCTTCTACACCCTATGCACTTTGAAATGCCTCTGCTCTTGGTCAGCTGTCTTAAAGGGCTTTCATTTTCAGGGAGTGGGCATTAAATAATTTCTGGAGAATGGTTTCCTTTAAGGTGTCTGGAACGGACCATGAAAAACTGCTCCAAACCCTCAAACATTGTCACTTGGAGAGTTGCAGACTGCTGCTGAGCCTAATGACAGGTAACCATCTGCCTCTTCCTAACACCCCAAACAAATGAAAACAAAGAAACCCAAGATCTCACCTACAGAGCATAAAAACCACAGTATGAGCCCTGTGCAATACCTTGCTTGTAATGAAGGAGGAAATTATACGAACGATGCTGAACGCTCCTCAGCTGAGCACACCTTTCCAACCCATTCTTCAAAATCCATAAGAGACTGCTCCAGTTGTTGGGATTTAAAATTTTATTTGAATGGGAAGAATTGCACATTTGTTGGGTTTTTTTTAAATTTTATTTTAATGGGCAGAATTGCACATTTGTCTCCTGCAATGACTATTCACGTGCTGGTTAGCTCTGCCTTTGGTTTGGTTTTTTTTTTTTTTTGTTCCCCCCTCTAGCCTGTAGCCTGCCCTCTCATTTCATGCTCAGATTCCTAATGCTGAGGACAAATTGCAATGTACAGGGTACCACTGCCAATTTGCCAAACGTCTTTCATCAAACACGGTGAAAAAAAAAAAAAAAATTCTCAGAGGGAAGTCAAGATACATTTACTTGTCAGGCAACAAATGTGAAAGCATTGGGAGGCAGTAGGGGCTGTAAGCTCTGGGGTTTGATTCATAATCACTCAGCTGCTAAAACATTCTCCACAGATGCAAGTGGACAGCACATTTGTCAATATGAAGGATTTTGACGTGTACTGATCACAGGCGTGAGATATGTAATGATGATGCTGCTGGGAGACAAGGTAATTCTATCTCAGCACTGAGATGTCATTATCAACCCATACAACTCAACATTACCATATATTTCTTTTTATACGACTTCATCTTTTTCTTTAGTTGGAATTGATTCTTAAAGCTTTTACGATAGTCTTTCCACTGCTTTTGATTTCTTCTAATTGTCCCCCGCAAGAATTCATTCTTCTATTTTGTAATTGCAGAAAATAAGTGGTATGAATGAAAAATGACCTTTGGCCTTCGGGCTGATTAGCAGTGACAAGACAGTGCATGGGTTATGATAGCACATATTTATGGTGAAGAATAATAAGGGCATTGAGAAGTATAATAAATGTTTTATTTATGTATATTTAATATTCAAGTCAGTTTCATTATCTAGTGGTTTTAAATCATTTTTGGATCACCATTTCTCATGTACATGGTCCCCTACAGTAATATATTAAAGCAACTATTTTCCCCTTTACATTTAAAATGGCTTAGTCATGCTTATTTTTTTCAGTTCTTACTTCCAGGATTTTGCAGAGGAGAAACTGAGACCAATTCTTCTCTAATGTACAGCGATGCAGATCAGCTCTACCTCCAATACTGCCTCCAGGATTACATCAGTCCCAAAATAGGTATGAAATCAGCATCTAATCTTAAATCCCTCATTCACAGGAAACACAAGCACTTCCAATTATTTTAAAGTATTACTCGCTTTCCAAAAATATGTTTCTCACCATAGGAATGACTATTGTGTTTGTGCCCTTTTTTTTTTTTTTTTAAAAAAAAAAAAGACTGATCCATGTAGTCACCTGGTATGATTTATATTTTTCAAGAAATGCACCAGCAACAAAGGGAAGTGCTCGGCCCCAAGCCTTTGCTGTGAGTCGGCAGCACTCAGCTGCTGTCAGGATAATTACAGCAGTTACTATCTGCTGGAGATAGGGCTCACAGGAACCAAATCAGGGCATTTTCTTAAGAAGTCCTGGAGCGTGCTGGTGCTCGGGACCTTCAGGATGCAATTCCCTATCGCGAGATGGGCACCCGGGCAGCATGGACTTACTACACCCCGTAAAATCCTGCCATCCCAGACACACAACACACTCTCTGTGACTTTATATTCAGGCAGACAGCCCCCGCTCATCAGTCCAATGGCAAAATCTCAACTGGGTAATATGAAATCCAGGGTTTGTCACGCTGAGGACTAACTCAGGCACCAAAGCAGGAATTATAAAACCTGCGACACACGCTGTTGGGAAACCAGGATCCCCGTTTCAAGCAGTGGCTCCAGGGGATGCGCAGGAGGGTGGACAAGGGACAGACCTTCTCCTCAGTGTCTTCTGTCATGCACCAGCAATGAGAGGTTCAAAAGCCTTACTTGGAAGTTGCATCTCGATTATGGTGTTGAACGGCGATTGGCGGCTGCGGCTCCCATTCATTTGGCTAAACCCTTTTTGAATCCATTTATATTTTTGTCAAGGAGAGTTCGCCAATTTAATTAGGTGCATATGAAAAGACACTGGCTTTTGTTCCTTCTAAGCCTTTTGCCTGATAATTCAGCTGGGTGCCCCTCATTTTTTTTTTTTTTTTTTTTGTATTGTTCAAACTAATGAATAACCATTTCTCATTCAGGTTCTGCTCACCATTCATGGTCTCATAGAACTGGGGCACAGCTCCCTCGGGCATTTCTTTTCCAAGCTGAAAAAATCAAAATCTACTTAGTCTCATTTTGTATGGAAGCTGTTCCCTACCTCTGATCATCATTGTTGCACTTTTCTGTGTCTTTTCTAATTCTACTACATCCTTTTTGAGAGGGACTTCAGCTGTATGCAGGACCTGAAAGCAGTGTAACATAATGTTGTTTTCAATTCCTTTCTGCTAAGCACTCAGATGATATTTTCATAAAACTATCGACTTCAAGATCTTTTTCCTGAATGACACAATTTAAGAGTCACACTTTTCCCTCGGTATTACCGCGTACTTACTGACATTGAGTTTTATTGCTATTTTAATCACTGGTGACTCAGCTTTCTGTGACTCTTCAGCAAAATCTTCATAGTCAGCTTTGGATTTAGCTATTCTCAATAAAGAGTCACAAACTCTGCTCTTTGCCTGGTCACCCTTCTTCCTATGTCATACACAGACCTATGCCACAGTTCAGACCCCAGTGACACCCCTAGGTGGGCTCACTGATAATCCTCAATGATTGTAAAAATCACTCATTTATTCTTAGCCTTTTTTCCAAGGATGGGTTTTTTTTTTTTGATTCATTATTAACCCAGGGGATGACTTTCCCTCTTCCACAGTGAAACTCCCTTTTTCAGTGGAAACACAACCAAAGTAGCTCTTACTCCTTCAAAACACCGTTACTGCTGATGGTAAAGCACGACTTGCCTCCATAGGAGCTGTGTTGACCATGGAGATGGTCCCGGTCAGCAATACACCAAACTCCTGGAGCAAGCTGTTAGCAATAGCATCTGTCCTCGGAGGTTTGGTGGGTACTCATGGCCACCTCATCTCTCTGGGGATGGTCCCTGGGGACCACCATGGAGGCAGGCGTGTGGCTTGAGCCGCCGGGCAGCGCTTTCGGGAGGGGTCTGCACCCCGGCCGAGTACCCAAGGGCTGTAGCGGTCCCTGAACGGGGCACGGGGAGGAAGGCACCGCTTGACCCCAAGGATGGGATTAGTGTAATTGCCATGTCCACAGAGAAAGCTCCCTGAGGAGGTAGGAAAGCGGGACGATCCCATTACATATTTTACATACAGCTATTGCCTTATGACAAGTCATGTCTGCTCCTAATCTGAGATCAGTGAATGACAGTATTTTATATAGAACAGTAACTTTTGATTTACATATATAAGAGTTGTTGATTCTATCTGTGTCCAGATGTCTGGAAAAGGAAGCAGCTTTCCCCCACCTCCCTCCTGCTCCCTGAGAGGCTATTAACCTCCTACTGACGCAAACTAATATGCAGTCGCAATTCCCCAGCTCCGACTCAAAAATGCAGACATTACCATAATCGGCTAAACCAAGTATTTATAAACATTTCAACGGGCAAGATATCATCAGCAGGGGCCTTGAATATTTGTCTTAAAATTTATTAACCAACAGAAGAAAAAATGGCATAAATAAAGCAAAGGTTTCTTGTTGCTGCTTTTTAAGAATAACCTGATGATATGAAATGATCTAGCAGACAGTCATGAATTACATGACCTCATGTTTTACAAACACGACTCCTTCATCGCTATTATCACAAAAACAACTGACTTTATGCCTGTAACTCATGGGAAAAAAATTGCTCAAATGTTTGCTTTCTATTTTTACTAGTGTTATTTAGAGAAATCTTGAAAACCCAACTACTAAAGCTCAGGATTTCTTCCTTCCCGGTTCAAGTTATAATGCTTTCTCTAAAAACTATGACTTGTCAATTTGTTGTCTTGAAACTGTGTGTATTTGGACATCCAACCATGGAACTTGGCTGAGCTATATTCACGTTCAAGAGACCTATCACACACGGCTGAACTTTATGAAGCAGTAGCAAGAAACTCCTGCTGATCTGTAGTATAGTTCCAGAATAATTCGATTTGTATTAATGCAGTTGGTGGGGATTTAGCTGATCTAACAGAATGGATCATGTCCTAAAATAAGGCCAGTAAAATAAAAGCTTTGTTAATGCACTCATCAAATGTCTTTTTGCTTGTTTGTAAAATTATTTTAATTATTTACAGTGATTCTCCATAAAGCTATTGCAAATAAAGTCTGAACCTCTTTATAGCAACCTTCTCTTGATGGGACCAGAAGGGGATGAAAGAGTCTACAGACTAAATAAATCATGATCCATTCAAGAAAGGGTGTTGCCCATTGATTTGCACTATAGGGTTCCTGCCAAACAGTGAAAAACAATCTGAAATAATCTTGAAATATATGGCATGTGCAACTGTGAATTGAGATAGAAAGGTTCATGTGACATATTCAAATCTCTCAAGATGAAGATTCATCCATGCATCAGCATCCTGCTCTAGGCACTTTATGTTTTAAATGCCTATTTCTGCTGCAGCTGCTCAAAGCAATAGCATGGCCAGGAGACATGCTCACAAAAAAAAGCAGGATGATGGAAATTTGAGGACCAAGCCAATGTCAAGGAAAGCAGACAGAAGAAACAGACTGCACTGGGTTTTTCAACTTCCCAAATATGCCCAAACAGAGCCACTTTTCTGAGAGCAGAGGATTCAGGGTGCCCGGGCCAAATCAACAAATCCTACCCACAGCCCTTTCATGTGCTACACTGAATTCCCTCTACTGCAAAGAAAATGTTTGGGAACCACCTCTTGTGCTCTCCAAGTCTGGCGTCTAACCCTACCTCCTATCTGTTGAGCTTATTCAGCGTCCATGGGTGCTCACAGGAGTCCTTCGGTGCCTGCTTAGCTCCTTTCATCTGGGGACCCTAGTGCATCTTTTGCAGCTGCATAAACCACCGCTTTTCAGGAAGAAAATGGGACTAAAAGCCACGGGTATGGAAAGCAAAGGTCCATCGCTGCTTTTGGAGCGTGCAGAGGAGAGCAGGGCTAAGTGCCAGTCTGCAGGGGCAGCACCTTTGAGGGCTCCTGCACCGGCCCCGTAAAGAGACGCACGTGGGAAAGAATATGTGAAGATCTCAGATCTCATTTTGTGAAATTCTGACTTCGTCTTGTGAAATTGGTCCATGTCTCACTGCGAGTGATGAGTGAGAGTGAGTCAGGACCCGAGCCGCAGCCGGCTGGCTCCAGCTCTCCCCTCCAAAGCCCGAAGGTTGGGAAAAATCTGGGACAAGTATTTATGGGTTCTGTGTTGCAGCTGAGGAGCCAGCAACGCAAAGGCAAAACACGGTGTTATTTGAGTTGCATCTGCAAAAGAAGTTGCTGTGGCTCTTTTTTTTCATGAACAATTTAGACATATTAAAAATAACATTTTATAAAAATAGAAGAGCAAGCTCAAATTTATCCCATAGTACTAAAAGCACAAAATCTGTTTGCATAAGGGGGACAATATAAGTATACACACAGGACAAATTTGACCCAAACACGGCAAATAAATGGGTGTTTTATTTGTGCTTTAAGTACAGCAATGAGCAATTAAGCTCAAAACTTCAAAGCTACTGAATTTACTAACTCCCACTGAAGTCCATGCGAGATAGAAACGTGAAGTCCTCTGAGGCGCTGTATTTTAATGTTTCGAATGCAGATTAAATATTTATAACTATTGCAATATAACAAGATTTCGGCCTGAAAATTTCACTGCAATCTCTGAAGGAAATGGCTTGGAACAATTTCAGTTAAATATAAACAAAACCTGCATTTTGAAACCCTCGCACAGGTAAAGCTCCCATTGCCTTCACCAAATAAAACCGGCAAGATTAGGTAGGTAAAAATAAAGCCAATTTGACATAAGAGGATATTTATCCGCTACAGCTACAACACTCCGCAGGAAACTGTGGCATGCTCCGTAATTGAGTGGTAAGTTATCTTTCATATTATATTTTTCTTATGCCATTTATTTCACAATGATTAAATCAAAAATATAAGCAATGAACTTACCCAAATTCTTTGATCAGGCAATTGGAACTGGGAGCAAAATTGAAACAAAAACAACACATTATTCCTGCATTGGAACCCTCATTGCAATCAATCTACTAATCAAGATTTTATTTAAAGATACTAAGAAAGATGTTCTTCTGAATGATTTGTTGCATCAGGGTATTCCCTCCCTAAAAATGCAATCCTTGTAATGGCAAATTATTGTGAAATACTGTTAAATGATCTAATTTTCATAGCTTTTGGGCCACTGCCACCGGGAGGAATTTTGCCCAGGCAGGGACAGGGTAAGGACTGCAGGGTTTATGTCTTCAATCTCTACTTCAGAAACCTGTTTTAAAGATCCATCTGTTAGCTGTTGTATTACCCAGTTAAAAATAACTAATGCTTCCTTCATCAGATGGCAAGTTTCAGAAATAAATTCACCTACAGAAACGCAAACTTGTGGGACACAAACAATAATTTTGTTCATATTTTACAAAGATAAACCCTGCCAGCAGAAAATTAGAACTTGTGGTGCAATCCACACCTGTACTTTTACAGGGGTGAAAAGGACTAGAAAGGAAAAACAGCTTTTCTGCAAGCTGTTCCCCAGTCCTCTATAAATACCAAGCCAAATTCTGCCTTTGCAAACAGAGACTCCTTTCCATTAACATCAGCACGAAAGCAGATTTTGGCATTTTCTCTTCTGACAGGACATGCGATGGTGGTTTAGTTGGTTTTTTTTTTTACAATGTATTAAGAGTGCATGTTACACTCATGACCTTTGCATCCATCCATCTCACAACAAGTTAAAGACGTTATCCCTAGCAGCTAGGCAAGTGATAAAACGAAAGCCAGTCTTTATCATGGATTTTTTTTTCTACGGCACAATGAAAAATGCAGAGGAATGGGCAAAAAGGTGTAACGGGCATATTTGTGCGCTCCCGTGCATGCGTTCAGCAAGGCGGGTGCACAAGTAGCCCTCCCTCCTGCCAGAGGGTGCTGGCTCTGCCCCACCTCGGCTGGCCACTGCGGTAGGGAGGTGGCACCCAACACCTCCTGCTCACACTGGAGGACCTGGTGACCACACTGGGACCTTCCCCGGGCACCAACAATAGATTTAACCAATTCTCTGCAAAAAAAACATGAGGGGTGAAATCCCGACATCCTGCCCACTAATGGCAAAATGCCCAACGTCTCCATTTCACCTGCACGCCTATGGCATCCTCACCTAACTCCCACTAACCTTCCTCCGGTTCCCCATGTAACTCAGAGTCATCCAACACTATGTAGAAGAGTAGCCAACTCCTTCCCTGCCCACCACAGACAAAGTCCTAATGGTGCATTTTACCCAAACAGCCTCCTTTCCCACCCGCTGACCACACTACCTACCACCATCGTCAGACCAACCTGCAGCAAAACCTTCAGAGCCCCTTGATCCAACTTCATTACACAACATCGATTTACACCTTCTGAAAAGCTAGCTAGCACTAAGCAAAATAATATTGTTCCTTCCATCGATACAGTACCCAAAATGCCCTCATTGAAATAATTTACTAGTACTTTACAGCCCCTTAGCTGCTCTAACAAAATCACTCATTTGATGGAGAGGAACCTGCCTGGTTTTACAGCAGGGGACACAAAGAGGATCGAGCTCCTGTTTGCGTATTTGTGCATTAGTACTGTCTGCTATGAAATGGGAATTTGTACTTGTTGCTTTGCAACTTGGGTAAATAAGGTAACTCAGAAAGGTGCTGAGCTGCTATTAAATCCTTTACATAAATTCTCGGTAATTTTAGTACTTAATAGACCCTTTGCTTCCTACAGGCACTGCAACTGGAATGAGGTGTTTTTCTGCACTCGCCATCCATGGAATAGAATTATGTTTGTGCATGTGCAACTACATACGCCATCAGCTGCTCTTCCCAGTTCTCCAGAAGTCCCATATTTCAGAATACATTCCATACAACATAGGACATAACAATTGTTGCCTTCGTTCAAAAAAAAAAAACCAAAAATTGTAGCAGATTGTTGGCATGGTTTCCCCAGGAATCAGAGGAAGCTGAACCAGAGACAGCAGCTCCTGGTTGCGTGCTTAAAACACAAGACCCATATGGGGTGTCATTATTAGGATGAAACAGCCTGTAGGCAGCAAGGGGTTCAAATTTGCGAAGACCACAGAGCATTTTATTTCAGGCATAAGGTTTAACTCAAACTTTTAGCAAAATCTCCTTAAGCAAGGAGAAGGAAGACAAAATGAGGGTGTGATGCTGTTGAAGAAAAGCAACGTATACTTTTGCATACAGGTTCTCTTTCTATATTACATACACATTGCAGTTATTACTCCATTTTAGGGAGACCCTCATAAATTTTTGTTATTCAGCAAATAAGCAGCAGGATTATGGCCTATGAACAAGACAGCAGCCCTCTCATATAGCATGTCCTGAGGCATGGAGGAGCAGGGATCCTACGAAGTCATTGCACACACTATAGCCCACGATGGCTACCTAAAAAAGATGGAGCATTTGCATAATGAGACTTGAAAGCATGGGGTGGAAGGTTTTATCGCTTTTCTGGGAGTCCTTAAATATTGACAGCTGGGATGCTCAGCTTTGCTGGCCTGACTTTGAATCTACATTGTCTCCTTGTAGTCAATATTGACTCCACCGCAACAGCCCAGAGCATGGGAGAGCGTTGAAGAAGACACGGGTAGCTGCAAGTGTTGGTAGCTACGCTACAGTTTTGGAGGAACACGGTTCTAAAACATAAGTGTAGTTTGAATCTGGCTTCCTCTACAATCAAAACATGTTGTTTCATCTGCAAAACATCAAGAAGCTCAGAACAATGCTTACGCTTTTCCACCACAATGGTGCAGCAAAAACTGTGTGTTTTAGGAAATCCAAAAATGACTAAGACTGCGTTCATTTCTCTGCACCTGCTTTGAAGCATCAACAGGCTTGTTTACAACATCAAAAATCCCAAAATACTTACTTGTGGATGAAACAAGAATCCCGGGGAAGGTCTCAAGTATTTCTCTTTTAAAGCCTCCAGTGGGTCAGTTAACTTTCTTTTCTCTACTCTGTAAATGTTAAAATTAGATTTGCTTGTGATGAATCAGTCTCAGGTATTAATAATTATACAGCTACTCATGTTTAAAACAGTCAGTTATACATCAAGTAATTTGTTTCTCAGAGATAATGGTAAACGATAAGGAAGTACAGTCAGCTCCCGATTCCCGCATACAACTCATTACTACGGGTGGGGGCTGTGAATTGCCATTAAAGGGAGATTATACCATTTACATAGGAAATAATGCCATTTCAAAAGACCGGTGATAATTATAATAGGAACCAATGACTAACTACTGAGCACTTTTATGGAGAAATAAGGTAACCGAGTGCACTCTCCACTCAGAGGAGAGGAATTCAAGGCAACAGGAGCCTTGAGCAATGGGTCCCTTCTCATCTGCCCATGTGAGACATCGCAGCCACCAACCTGGAAACCTCTCCTTGTGCATGGCCATGCACAAGCAGGGCGAGACAGGTGGGCTTGTAGGAACGCACGGAATCTGATATGCCAGCAACAAAGACTGCGATCAACTCATGCGGGCATTTAGGCAGCGAAAGGCAGCGCGGCTAATTCAGAAGCAGTGTGGAAATTTGAGGTTTTTGCTTTTTTTGTTACTGATGTGTACAGTTTAAGGGACAGATCCTGTTGTCCACGTGTAGATGTAACTCATGGCAAAGAAAGGCTCGGTAACAACTGGCTTTGCGCTACGTTGCCAGAATCTGTACAGATTTCATTAGTTTGTAATGCAGGACCATAAAACACAGATCATTATTTCCACTGCTTCAGGCATTTAAAATGAATATGACGCAAAAACCCCCTATGGTCTAATACAGATATCAATCTGGCATGAGTAAAACCATCTCAGTAAATAGCATCATATCCTGTTTCTTCATAATGCATACCTGTTGTCTTATGCGAGAGCATTCTTCAAAAACTTTGCCCACAGCATTTCTTTTTCAGATAAAGTAATAAATTAACATCATTTACATGGCAGTAACTTTTTTTCTTTTTTAACAATAGGCTGTAGAATCAGTCATTTATATTAGACAAATATTTTTATGGCCAATATTTCCTCTAAACTAATTTAGATACATGACTTTGGCTGGTTGCACGTATACGAGCAGAAAGGCGAAGGGGCAAAGAGGGGCTGAGGTACACAGGACACACAACGAAATCCAGATCCCAGTGAGATCCATCTCGGCACTACTGGGAAACACCAAGGGGTCAGGGTTTTACCACTGGTTTTTAAAACCTCGGCTCACTGACAGTGTCTGCTCGTGCACCCGCCGAAGCCAACGACAAGGCTCCCACTGATTTCCTAAGGTCGATCAGAGTAACTAGCCCAGTGGTTAGGCTTTGCACACACAGGGATGCTGCACCTTCAGTTACCTTAAGGAAATGCCCAATAAATCAATGCATTGCTCAAATCAGTGCAGAAAAGGCAGAAATCATTCTCAATTTCCATATTTTTTATACACCTTAGGACAAATTTGCTTCTTTGCTGTGCTTATGAGATACTCCTACTTAATTCAGGAGGCACTAAAAAGGTGGTGTACAACTGGCACCCTGGTGAGATCTCTCTAATTGCCAGGGGAAGGCAGAGGGCAGTAAAGGTGAGCGGGCAGCATTTGGAAGGAAAGGAATTTGGGGCAAAGCAGTGATGACAAATACACAGCAAATGCACAAATATTCAATACCGATGCCAATTCGTTTCTGGGTAATAGAATATATTCAACTCCTGCACGTCAAGCTGCGCAGGTTAAACCCATGACTCGCTGCAACGCGGGCAGTCATGAAGACTTGCTAACTGCAGCATTCCCGGACCCGGGGTTTGCTCCGAGCAGCTCAGATTGGAGGCGGTGTGCGCAGGTCAGCGTGCAGCCTGGGCC